AAAGAGAACATTGATATACTATATTAAAATTAAGAGCTTCCTTTCACATATATATATACACATATATACACACACATACACATCTATATATGTGTATGTACATACACAACTATACACATATATACATACACATATATAGATGTATAGATATATATATATACACTTCAATACATATCTGTATATGTATAGATACATCTATATATATTTTCAATACATTCTCACAATACATTCAACAGATGACTTGCATCCAGAAATGATATATTTTTGAAAACCACAAGTCAATACAAAACATAGTCCATTCAATAGAAAAGTGGGCAAGAACCTGAACAGACATGTAACAAGAGGATAGTCAAAATGCAATAATCATATGTAATGTGCTTGATCTCAATTATAGTAAAATGAAAACTAAAGCCACAATGAGAAACTGCTACATGCCAGCCAGAATAAAATGAAAAAGAGAAGACACTACTGAGTGTAGGGCAATTGGAATTTTGGAAAACTGGCAGTATCTAGTAAAGCTGAATTATGTACATACTGTGGCCCTGTAATTCCACTGTTAGGCAGAAATGAGTACCTATGTGCACCAAATTCATGTACTAAATATTTGAGGCAGTACTATTAATAATAGTTCTGAAACTGGGAATGAACCAAACATCCATGTGATAAATATATGGTTTATTTATGCAGTGGAATACTATACAGCCACGAGAAGGAACCACATGCAACAAAAACCTTACAAACACAATGTACAGCAAATAAGCCAGATACAAGAGAATACATACTATTTGATTCCATTTATATTATGTCCAAAAACAGACAAAAGTAATCTATGTTCTTAGAAGTCAAACAGTTGTTACCCTTGGGGAGGTAGTAACTGGTAAGGAACATGAGGGGGCCTTCTGGGGTGGTGGTAATAGTTTGTTGATTGAAGTGATGACTGTATTGCACTCTATTTGTTAAAAACCAAAGACCTGTGCATATTATACTTCAAAGTTAATACAAAATGATTTGCTTCTGCCTGGGTAATCCAGACTGAAGAAACAATTCCTTCTCTCTTGGCCTTTTCATTCAGCTATACTCACACTTGTGCTCCCACCTCTTTCTATTTCCCAATGGTGAGGGTGGGAAAAGAACCATTCCCCACCCCCTAAGATGCAGACTAAACTAGATTTGCTACAGGACTGGTTGCTAAAGGAGCAGGTCTACCACAATGTGAGGTCCAATTCTATCTTCGCCCTCCTGCCTATTGATGACTCACTTTTTACCTTTGGCTCCTAAGTACACTCAAATGCCCTCCTGCTCTCTCTGCCCCAAGGCCTCTTACACAGGATATATATGTTCCTCTCAGGGGACACTTACATAAGTATCAAAGGTTGTTCTGTATTTTTTTTTTATTAAGATTTTATTTGAGAGAGAACATGCATGTACACTAGTAGTGTCGGGGGTGGGATGCAGAGGAGAAGCAGGCTCCCCTCTGAGCAGAGAGCCCAGCACGGGGCTTGATCCCAGGACTCCAGGACCATCACCTGAGCCGAAGGCAGACATTTAACTCAATGAGCCACCCAGGTGCCCCAAAATAAGTATCAAAAGTTTGAACCTAAAGGTGGGAGCACCATCCACTTAACATTTTGAGTTGTGGGTAGTGAATGGGTGAGAAGTCGTCTGGATTTAATACTCCTTGAGGTGTGTAACATGGCATTGGATTGCAGGCTTGACTTGTCTTGGTCAACTCTGTACTCTCTCTGTGCCTCAGTTCCATTATTAAAACAGAGCTTAGTTCATATACTTATAAGGATCAAAATGAATTAACACATATGAAAGACTTAGAAAAGTAATTGACCTAAGCAGCTTAATAAATGTTGTCAACCTGGCTTTATCCAAGGTATGCTGTCCCCAAGGAAGCATGGCTCAGGATGAATCTAGGAAGCCGAGGGCTTTGGGGCTAACCCAAAAGTCTCCCCAAACTGAGAAGGGTACTTTTGGGTGTCCCACACTTGCTTAATATTGCAGTGAGGAGCAGGAGCCCATGCTTCAGGATTACGTGGGAGCAGAAAAGAAATTGAGAAGGTGAAGAGCTGGCTGTCCCCCAGCCTAGTCACAGGTATCACTAAATAAGTAAGTGTAGGAGCCACTGCACTGACTGCCTTCAAGGAATCAGGAATGTTAATCCATCAGAGGGTGAGAAATGAAGAAACTTATCAGTTATGTAGTATTTGACATAACAGCATCTAGGGAGGTGGTAACATCATATACTTGCGCTTCCTCTTTGACCAAAGGCCCAGTAAATACCACAGACATTTTGGTAGAATTATTATAGGACTCTGGTCCCTGGATCTGGCCTTAAAGACCCAGACTTGGCAGTTAACTGGCTCACAATACATACAAAGCCTGGTAGACAACAAAAAGTTTATCAATAATGAAAAATAATATTCAGTTGCTAGAGTATTTGCACTGGCAGAGCTACACAAGAAACCACATCTTCACTACGATGCTTGAAGACTTAGCAAAATAACATATCAATAAGCTAGGACAGGCTGAAGAACACATCCCCACAAGAGCTAATGTGACAGGAGATCTGGACCTGATACCTGACAATGCTTTCTCTACCTCTCCACTGTTGGCCAACATTGCACACTGGCTCAAACCCCATCACTTTGCACACCTCTGATGCCCTAATAATGCTACTAACATGAATTTAGGCAGCAATCACATTTCCTCAATTTTTGGGTTTGGGGAAAGGGTAGGCTAGGAAACTCCATACTGGTAATCTACCTTTGAGAGTCATTACACACCTTAGTTAATAGAAGTCAAGATCTCTGATGTCTTCTCTCCTTGAAAGCAAATTTCTTTGGGGAGTCACCCTGGAACCAGAGGCTCGGTGGACACTGGAAGAGCAGTCATTACCCGCAGACAGCTGCAGCGTGCAGGTTAGGACACCTCCCCTTTGGATGCAGCTGGAAATAGTTTGTCTCCCTGAACATGATGTCTACGTGGTGCCTCTCCTTTAGTGTACTCTAGGCCCAAAGAATTCAACTTGAGCATTCTTTGTTTATACCACAATCCAGCCATGTTCCCAGACCAATCCTCCCAATCTGCAGGCTGTGTCCTCCCCATAAAGGGCTGGTTTGATCTTCATTTCACTTTCATCTGCAGAGGACAAATTGGAATGCCTGTAATCACTTTCATCAACTTCACATCATGGACCCGATAGTGAAGAGCCATGCCCCCTCCCTAATAATTATAAATCTTGAATGGAAAATTCCCAAACATTTAGACAGTGGGGTGTCCTCCCAGCTTTTACCTTGGTGATGGGCAGAATCCACCTTTTCTGAAAAGTTCTTCTTGAGTCACTGCCCAGACCTTTAACTGTAGCAGGAAGGCATCAGGGAGCACAGCGAGGAGGAGAGGCGGCCAAGAGAACAAGAAAGCTCATGCAAAGGGCAATGCCATAACTCTGCATCCTCTGGGGGCATGTGCTTCCTGTACACACAACAGCTTGCTTCGCTCCGAGCGAAGACACTGGCTCAGTCCACCTGGGTTTCCTTTACTCCTTTCTACCCCTTCAGTGAAGGTCCCGGGGTACTCCACCGTCCTTTTCTGCTTTGTATTACCACCCATCACTCCATCCTTCAGGTGATCCTTCTCTTCCACAAGTCATCCATGGGGTGGAAAGGGCAAGAGTCTAAAAATGTTTTATTACTTGTTTAAAATTATCCAAGACCATTAAATAAAAATGATGATAGGAAATAATAAAGAAGCCATATCCTCTATCAAACTATCAAAATACTTTCTGAACTTCCCCCAGAATTAAAATAAACCTGGGTGTGTATGTAACACTAAGAGCTCACCATCCCCACCTCCCAGCACCATTACCAAACCTTTGTTAGCTAATGGCAGCCACCAGAGTCAGAAATACTATTATTTATTTCCCCAAACGGCTTATGGCAAACCACCACTAAGGCTAAAAGACTTAACTTTTATAAACTGGTAACAGTATGGAGATTGATAAATACACAAGAAACAGAAATTAGGTAACCTGTATTCTCTTGTTAAAAGGTCTGTTACTCTGACACCGTGAATAATCAACATATATAAACAAATTTTAAACAAGTACTCTGGATAAGTACAGAAAGTAATGTCTTTTAAATTCATGCATTAAATAAATGATTTTTAGAAGAATATGCAATAATTGCTCTGTTTTGTTCTTTGTAAGTTTTTCACTACACTTAAATACTGGAAAGTTTTTTTAAACAGTAAAATGTAAAGTAAGGACAAGGGTTCACCTAGGTGTGAACCTACGTTTGTGAACGGTTCTGGAAGAGAAGTCAAGCAAGAAGCCAGGGCTGGAAACAGTCAACAGTTCTGAAATGGCAAATTCAACTTCTGAGCGGTGATGGGATGCTGGAGCCTACTGCGCAGAGTATGATGTTATAATGGAAGAGCAGGTACCGCTTCTCTCGGGGCTGAAGGGGAGGAACACAGCACATAGTGCCGGTAAGCTGTATCTAACGTCAGGGAGAATTCATCTGAAGTCTGCTTTTCAGCTTCCTTTCACCTTCCTTGAACCCTCCTATTGCAGTTCCATACATCTCTCTGAGGAAAATGTGCAACAGGTTCACACGGGACAGGTTTTCATTAAGTCGTGGAAACACAACTACGGCATTTTCATTCAATGAAGAAAGGGAAATCTGTCTAATTACATTCTTGATAACTAGAAACATTATTGGTAAGGAAGGAAATTCTTAAGATAAAGCCCCTAAAATCTGTAACAATTTTATGCTGGCATATAAAACATTCTAACCAGTTCCAGAATTAGATATTAGCAAATAAAGTAGTTAGTATTTATAATGAAATGTAGTAACTGGCTAAAATTCTAGGTAAAAAACATTCATGGCCATCTAAAATTTTGTTTTAAACGTACAACTTTAGCGATATATATTGAGCACATTCAATTTAATTGTACAGCACACAATCCATTTAATCTTGAAAAACACTAACAAAACTACAGAAATCAGCACAAACCCCCATAAACCAGTATGCTCCCTCAGCAATTCTACAAGGGCAATGAATTTAATACTGGAAACGAACATTGAACAAATCAGAGCACTGTGGAAAGAGTTCAGCAGCTCTAACAAGTCATACTATAATTTTTATGCGCTAGGAGAGTAGTGAGGCAAATGGAATTCTTAGAACATTACTTAAAAATAGATTTTTAAAGACAAAGGTCCCAACTCATTCTTATATACACACACAAAAGTTCATCTGTCACAGACAGCAAATGTTGAATTTACACACTGGAGTTTCCGGCAGCATCCTGCACATTTAGAGTAATTACAACAAACAAACAGAAAGTTGTCAGATCTAGAATGGAGCGTTCAAATCTGCACAGGACGGGACACAGCTGTCCTGGGACTACTGCGTATGTGCTCACCGCTGCTTCTCAAATGCAAAAACCAAGTAAATACCTAAAAAGAAAATAATACAAATTAGAGTTTGATTTCTCATATCTGTAGGCTAAACAGAACAATTTCAGTCCTGTTTGGAATTTGGTGAAAATTCTCAAGTTTCTGAGAGGAAAAATCCCAGTATTTCTAAGAGTCCTCAATTATTTTGAGTCATACTTAAGCAGATACGGGGTCATAGCTATTTACCTGAAAACAAATATCCACGTATTATAATACTCAGTGACATTATAGATCTTGAGAAAGCCAACTCAATGGTTCTAAAAATCTCTAAAAAACAGCTTGACATAAGAAAAATTAAAAGTATAAAGGCAAAGAAAATTAAAACTAAAAAATCTTACAACTTAATTCTTTTTATCTGGAGTAAGATAGGTAGAATAACCGCAGTACCATGATTACTTCTGGCACTGGTTACCTAGATTTTCTATTTGGGGGGAAAAATTAGTAAGAATTATAAGGAACATATGTAACTGGCAAGTTAAAATTCATCCAATTATCCAACTGTTCTACTGTAAGGACTGATAAGGAAAGTGAGCCAAAAGCTACATGATAACTGATGCTTAGAGGTATTTATCTGGCCCCAACAGTGATATTCCAGTCCCAAGAATACTCTCCCTTAAATATGATTTCCTGCTTTGGCATGTGTTCACTCAAAGAGATCTAAGTGCATCTATAATTCCTCATTCTGGATCACACTGAAGTTCAAAGCTATTATATCTTCTAATAAGATACTAATAAATTTTATGGTAAACAAACACCTGAAAAAATGACAAATCCTCAGAACATCACAAGGATGTTCAGCGCGTACACTAGGACATTCAGTCAGTGAGTCAAGATAGTAGGCCATGTACCTTGGTGCCCTCCCTTTCTGAGTTAACTTCTGAACAGGGTGCAGATGAATGACTGCAGATCATGTAAAAACCTCCCAATCCTTTAGCTTTTTCCTCAACCTGTCCAGGAATATGACACCAGTCCTTCCAAAATGCTATTTTAGTAATGCTATTCTGTTTCTTATCTACTAGCTCCCAATTTCTTTTAGGAGAAATGAAACATTGCTGGTAATACAGTAGACAGATGGACAGAGAACAGGCAGGGTGATATCAACATCGTAGATTCTTCTGGAAGACAAGAAGGCAAAGCAGACCAAGCTCACAAGCATGTCACAAGACTCAGAAGCAGACAGCATTATTTAGCGTGGCCCTCACTCCAAGCAATCCCTCTGCAGTCCAACCTTGCCAAAACCACCCCAAACACACTAGTACCTACTGCAAACAACCCAGCAGCCCTCACCTACCTTAAATCTAGGGTCATTTAAAAACCACTCAGATGCAATGTTTGAATTCAGATCAGCAATAAATAACATTCTTTCCTTTCTAACTCAAACATTCTGAAAGTCTAATATAAAATGCCTTCCATGTAGGCCTATCAATTGGGATTTAAAAAAATAAACACTGAACCACTACTAAAAGCAAATCAGCGGGAACCTGGGAGGCTCAGCTGGTTAAGCAACTGTCTTCGGCTCACGTCATGATCCTGGAGTCCCTGGATTGAGTCCTGCATTTGGCTCCCTGCGTCATCGGCAGGGAGTCTGCTTCTCCCTCTGACCCTCCCCATCTCATGCTTTCTCTCTCTCTCTCATTCTTTCTCAAATTAATAAATAAAATCTTGAAAAAAAAAAAGCCAGTTGGCAACAATTCTTCATGTTCCTCTCCCATTTAAAGAATCTTCTAGAGGAGCAGCAGGTTCTGGTAATAGGAGCTTAACGATTAGACCAGCAGGAGTTTGAAGTACAGCTTCTTGAACTTATCAGGCTATGACACCAGAAAAGATGCTCTCCAGTCCACAGAACCCTCCAGTTTAGAAGAGTATAATTCATCAAAGAACACACTGACCCGGACAAACTGGATCCTGGCTGCAGTGTGACCACTGTTCCTTGCCTACTGCTTTTCACTTCTCTAAGCCATCTCCGTCCTTGGTCTGGGGGGCATCTGATTTGTCCAGCTGCATGCTATCACTAAAGTCCACACTAAGGTACAGAAACGCATTTTTCTAAACTACAGCTAGTACCACCTGCACTACTTGTGACCAAAGCTGTTTTCCTTCCTACATCATAGTTTGGGAGCGGCAGGGCATCTAAGAGAACTGTGCCATCTCCACTCTAGGAAAAGTAATGAAATGTACAGGTTTAGGCATACATTTCCCAGTCTGTTGGTCCTCTAATCCCATTTCCACTAAGGGTAGCAATATTCTGAGACAGACAGGCTAAACATACTGGCTCTATTTGTGTTCTTTCCTTCTCCTCTCTCTCCAATTCAGCCAAGTCCTAGCACAATCCTTTCACACATGAGGCCATGGTTACAAGTATGAATCACCTGGGTAAGCCCTGAGACCTCAGACAAGTTATCGAAGTGCTTCTTTTAATCTGTGAAGATACTACAAAAAGTAGCCTACCCCTAAGTTTGTGAGGATGAAATGAGTTAAAACATATGAAAACTCTCCAGTCATGCTTGAGCACGTGTTACTCAATTATATCAGCTATTACTATTTTCCAGATTTTACTGCTTTTCCTTGCGCTCTCCTTCATCTCTTTTCCCCATTATAGAAACTTCAGCACTTCAAACAGTTTGCCTAGTACTGCCTTTATCTGTGTCTGTTTCTTCCATTAGACAGTATACATCTGGAAAGTAGAGATTACGACTCTATTGTTTTTTATTCCCCCAAAGCCCTTTCAAAGAAATTTACGTAATAACTCAACCGTTATCAAACAGATTGTCTCTGATTACCACTTATGCCTTCAACAGAGTTAACAAACACTTAAATGAACAAGAAAACTACTTTTTATGTCCTCAGGGCAGCCATATGAGGGTATTATCATCTTCTTAACACTGAGGGTATGGGCTTTCACTTCCTCAACATCCACGGACTTCACAGATTTGCCAGGCCTCTGACTTCTCTTCCAAAGACAGGCACCTCACTTCAGCATGTCTCCATACCAGGCCCTTCCCAATCACACATCCCTTTAAAATAACCTGCTCATTGCTGCTTCACTAAATGTTCTAGTACCTATTAATTACGCCTTTGTTGTCAATGTCAGAGTGGCTAGACAAGATATGTCGTAGTGTTCTAAAAGCCGGAATTTCCAACAGAAATCTGAGATAAAGATAGCAAATACAGGTGGCTATGTAGTAATGAGTAAGCAATGAAAATGTTTAAGAATGCTCATGAAAGTTTATATTAAGGAACATCCTGCATATATTTTCTCCTGGCACTAAACAGCTGTGCAAGAAAGGGGGCGTTAAACATACATAGGGATTCTATGTAAACATAAACACACACACCCTAATATGTGTTGGAAAAATTCCAAAGTTTTCAAATTTTAATGATCACTCTGAAACGATCTTTGAAAATGTCAGTTAATCTATATTGATGATATACTCACTTGTGGCTTCCCACTCCGACTTACTTAAGGTTCCCTGAAATTAAAGAAAAAGAAAGAACATTTTTAGATTGAATATAGAAGTACATAAATGCCTATTTTTCAATACTGCAGAGAAGTGCCCAAACACCCCCACTTCACTATAAATATAAGTTGACCCTTGAACAACACAGGTTTGAATTATGCAGCTATAGTTATATGTGTATTTTTTTCAACAAATAATCTAAATGTGTTTCCTTTTCCTTGTTTCTTTTTTTTTTTTTTAAAGATTTTATTTATTTATTTGACAGACAGAGATCACAAGCAGGCAGAGAGAGAGGGAAAGCAGGCCCCCCACTGAGCAGAGAGCCCGATGCGGGGCTCGATCCTAGGGCCGTGGGATGGTGACCCGAGCCAAAGGCAGAGGCTTACCCACTGAGCCACCCAGGCGCCCCTCCTTTTGATTTTCTTAATAACATTTCTCTAGTTTACATTTTTGTGAGAATACAGCATGTGATACAATACATACAAAATATGTACTAATTAACTGATCATCATATTGGAAGGCCTCTGGTCAACAGTTGTCTATTAGTTATTAATAGCCAACTATTAGAGTCATTAAGTCTAGAGTCAAAAGTTATAGGTTTACTTTTGACTACATGGGGAATCACCCCCACACTGCCCAAGCGCCAACTATACACATAATTTAATGTTACCATTATTGTGAACTAAATATGTAAAAGAAATAAATGAGATTTTAATGTTATCCTCTGAATTTTGTTCTCCTGCCTAATTCTCTAAACCACTGATTCTCAACCAAAGGGTGAATTTGTGTAAAGAGGGTACTTGTGCATGTGTGTAACTAGAAAAAGCATCTACTTATATTTTTAACTTGGAAAATGAAAAAATAAAAAAGCCTATCTTGAAACATCTAGTAGCATAGGAGGAGGGAATAAGATTTTTCATGCTTTTACAAAGGAATCACAAAATCCATATCATTCAAAGGAAATAAATTATGTTTAAAATAGTTACCAAAATACTAAAAAACACATTGATACAGTCATATATATGCTGCTTTGCACATACACTAACAAGACAGAGTAACTAATACAATTTTGAAGAAGTGATGAATATAAACGATAGTCTAAGATGTCCCCGGATATGTGTTATGCAAATATCTGTAATTTCTATTGATAGCAAAGTCACAGCTATATCTAATACCATTGTGGTACTACTGCATTCTTAATTAAAGAAAGCGTGAACTTCCATGTAGAAGTCAGTGAAAATGGAGATGTAATTTTTCTCCATGTAAGTTCATGAGCCCGTGAATTTTATCTATGGAACACAATGAGTCAGCAGCGCCTAGGTTAAGACATAATGACATAGAAAGAAACTCTCCAATCAAGCTTGTAACTTTCTCCGCAGCCTTATCACTCCATTCTCAGTACTGACATATTTTCTTTTCTATTCTGTTTCTAAAAAGGGGAAATATACTGACATGTATCTGATTTGTAAACCAATGAAATCATTTCGTAAGTTTCCATAAAACATGAGCTTTTGTTTTTCATTTTCTGGAAAACATGCTACATGTGAAAACTTACCAAAGGTAACCTTACTTGACTGTTCTTCATGTACTCTGCTGCATGTTCATAGTCATCTATCTTCTCAGAGGCAAGTTTGGAATTCTCATTTGCTGGATATGGCTAGGGAAGCAAGTAAAATTCCTAGTTAGGAAATTAAATGAAACTTATAATTCAGAAGTAAAAACAGTTAAGTCACAGAAAAAAATAATTAAGAAAATAATCCTTAAGTATTATTTCAGCAATACAGACCACACATTCTTTTGAAATACAGAAAAAAAAAAATGGGAGAAGGGGATCCTCTCCTAACAAAGTAGCTGTTATCGACAGTCAACTTTGATGATAATCATAGAATATTTATAGTTAGACAAAACTGTACCATTTATTTAATCACCTCCAAGAATCACTTAGCAGCAAACACTTGCATCTCCCTGACTCCCAGGGAAAGACCTGTTCCGTTCTGACACAAAGCTGAAGGAAGTTATTATCGAAAGAGCTAAATATTAATTTAAACATTATGGTGATGTACTAGCCATCAGAAACATGAACAGAAATTATAAATAATACAAATGAAAAACTCAAAGTCCTGGGTGAAGATGGTGGTGGAGTAAGAGGCCCAGAGGCTCACCTCATACTATGAATTCAACAAAGTAACTATCGAGTCATCCTAAATACCCCAGGAATCAGTCCGAAGACTGGTAAAACAAACTCTACGACTGAAGGTAGAGAAGAGACCACACTGAAGAAGGTAGAAAATGCAGAGAGACGGTTTGGAAAAAGCAGATGGTGGCCACGCTGATGGGGAGGGAGGAAGTTGCAGTCACTGAGAAGGGTGAGAAATAGACCAATACGCAGGGAAGCATATGGGGAAAACAAATCCTCACAGCATTTGGCTTGGAAAGCAAAAGAGCCTTAACTTCCTGAGTTCTTGCAACCAACAAGGCTTAAAGCCTGGTCAGTGTGTTTGGATCTGGGAGAGCTCAGAGAAGGACATTGGGGCTGCTGTTGAAGAAAAAGCACAGAAACAGCCTGCAGACATATAACATGGAAACAGCAATCTGAAGAGTGCCTGGGGCAGGCAGTGGGAAGGTTAATTGCTCATCTCAGAACATGCCCAAGAGAGACAATGATCAGAGACTCCTCCAAGAATAAAGAAACTGGCTGGCATCATTTCCTTTCGTGGTCCCTCACCATAAACACCAGCCACTTGCAGGAACCAGTACTTGTGAATACTCACTACCTAAACTGCTTATGACAATCCGACCCTGCCTACACTCTGGTGGAACGGCCCTTCCCAAGAACCCTTGCCTCAGTCCCACTGTGGTGGGCCCCCTTCCACAGAAAACAGGCCCAAACCAGTACCCACACATCTGCCTACCTGGGGGTTTTGCAGGGCCTCAGTTCCAGCAGCAGAGCAAGAAGTCCTATCTCACAAGCAGACCAGAGCACATCTTGATAAAACACACATTCAAGCCAGGCAACAAATACTGCTCACAACAGGCAAAGACAGCCTCTGCAGATGACTAGCCTAAGGACAGAGAGACCAGGACACAACAGCAGAGCACACAAAACACACACTGAAGACACTCCTGCACACACAAGGCCCTGGGGACCAAGGGGCTCTATGCGGCACAGCACTAGAGAACCTCTCTTCCTAAAGCCATTAGCCTCAAGAACAGGAGATGTAGCTAACTTTCCAAACACAAAGAGACACAGACCAAATAAGAAGACAGAGAAATTTGTCCCAAATGAAAATAGGACAAGGCCGTGGCTGGAGATCTAAATGAAACAGCACATGCCTGATGGAGAATTTAAAGTAATGATCATAAGAATACTCATGTGACTTGAGAAGAATAGAGAACATCAGTGAGACCATTAACACATATAACAGAGAGATAAAGGGATTAAAAAACAAAATGAAAAACATGCATAATGGAATGAACAGCAGGCTGAAAGAAGCAGAGGAACAAGTTAGTGACCCAGAAACACAGTTGTGGAAAATAATCAAGCTGAACAAAAGAGAGAAAAAAAATAAATAGAACAAAAATAAACTTAGGGAACTCAATAAATAGAACAAAAGTAAACTTAGGGAATAAATAGAACAAAAATAAACTTAGAACAAAAATAAAATAACATTCATTTTATAGGTGTCCTAGAAGGAGAGAAAAAGGGGCAGATCATTTATTTGAAGAAATTAACAGCTGAAAAGTTCCCTACTCTGGGGAAGGAAGCAGATGTGCAGATCCAGAAGCACAGAGAACCCCCATCAAAATCAAGAAAAGCAGATCCACACCAAGGCATGCTGTAATTCTATTTGCAAAATACAGTAATGAAGGAAAAATATTAAAAGCAGCAAGACAAAAGAAGTCATTAACTTAGAGGGGAAAACCCATAAGGTTAGCAGGAGATTTTTCCATAGAAACTCTTGAAGCCAAAAGGGAGTGGAATGACATACTGAAAAATACTGAACGGGAAAAATCAATAGCCAAGAATACTCTATCCAGCAAAGCTACCACTAAGAACAGGAAGAGAGATTAAAGAGTTTCCCAGACAAACAAAACTAAAGGAGTTTGTGACCACTAAACCAGCCCTAAAAGAAATATTAAAGGGGATTCTTCAAGTGGAAAAGAAAGACCAAAAATGACAATATGAAAGTAGGAAACACAGAAGCAGTAAATACGAATGTTTCTGTAAAAACTCAGTCAAGGATATGAAACTGGACACCATATACCTAAAACCAGGGAAGAGTAAAGAATGGGTTCAAACTTAAACTACTATCAAATTAATATAGACTGCTATATGCAGAAGATGATATATACACACCTAAGGGTAACCACATGTCAAAACCACTAATATGCAAGGAATAAAAAGAAAGAAATCCAAATATATCACTAAAGAAAACCTGCAAACTATGAAAGAAAGAGAAGAAAGGATCAGGGAAAATCTCCAGAAAGAACCACAAAACAAATAATAAAATGGCAACAAATACATAACCATCAATAATTACTTTGAATGGAAATGGACTAAACATACCGATCAAAAGACACGGGGTAACAGAATGGATAAAAAACAAGATCCATCTATATGCTGCACACAAGAGATTCATTTTAGTCCTAAGAACACCTACAGATTGAAAGTGAGGGGATGGAAGGGTGCCTGGGTGGCACAGTCTATTGAGTGTCTGACTCTTGGTTTTGGCTCAGGTTAAGATCTTGGGGTACTGGGATTAAGCCCCATATCGGGCTCTACATTCAGCAAGGAGTCTGCTTGGCATTCTGTCTCCCTCTCCCTCTGCCCCTTGCTGCTTCCCATTCTCTCTCTCTCTCTCACACAGTAAAATAAATAAATAGATCTTAAAAAAAAAAAAGTGAGGGGATGGAGAAACATTTATCATACCAGTGGATGTCAAAAGATAGGGTAGTAGCAGTACTTATATTGCAAAAAATAAATTTTTTTAAAATTAACATATAATGTATTATTTGTCTTAGGGGTATAGGTCTGTGACTCATCAGTCCAACACAATTCACAGTGCTCACCATAGCACATATCCTCCCTAATGTGCAATATATTTCAAAACAAAGACTATAATAAGAGACCAAGAGGGGCAGTAGATAATAATAAAGGGAATAATCCCCAAAGAAGTTATGACAATGTAAATATTTATGCCCCCAAGATGGAAGCACCCAAATACATAAAACAATTAATAACAAACATAAAGGAACTCACTGATAAAAATATAATAGTAGGTAACTTTAACTGCCCACTTATATCAATGCACAGATCATCTAAACAGAAAATCAACGAGGAAACAATGGCTTTGAATAACACAGCCAACCAGTTGTATTTAACAGGTATATTCAGAACATTCTATCCTAAAACAGCAGAATACACATTCTTTTCAAGTATACATGGAACATTCTCCAGAACAGACTGCACATTAGGCCACAGACAAGCCTCAAGAAATTTAAAAAAGATCAAAGTCATACCATGCATCTTTTCTGACCAGAATGCTATGAAACTAGAAGTCAAGAAAAAATGTACAAAGACCACAAATGAAGGGAAGTTAAATAACATGCCTCTAAACAATGAATAGGTCAACCAGGAAATAGAAGAAATAAAAAAAGTAAATGAAAACAAACACACAACAGTCCAAAACCTTTGGGATGCAGCAAAAACAGTTCTAAGAGGAATGCTTATAGCAATACAGGCCTATCTCAAGAAGTAAGAAAACTCTCAAACAACCTAACCTTACACCTAAGGGATCTAGATAAAGAACAATAAACAAAACCTAAAATCAGTAGGAGGAAGGAAATAATAAAGATCAGAACAGAAATAAATGATGTAGAAACTAAAAAACAGCTAAACAAAAAGCAATGAACCTGGAAGCTGGTTCTTTGAAAAAAAATCAGTAAAACTGATGGGCGCCTGGGTGGCTCAGTGGTTAAAGCCTCTGCCTTTGGCTCAGGTCATGATCTCACGGGTCCTGGGATCGAGTCCCGCATCGGGCTCTCTGCTCAGCAGGGAGCCTGCCTCCTCCTGTCTCTCTCTGCCTGCCTCTCTACCTACTTGTGATCTGTCAAATTAAAAAAAAAAAAAAAATCTTAAAAAAAAAAACAAACAAAACAAAACCTCTTAACAAACTAGGAATTTCCTTTCTTTAGAAAAAAAAAAAAAATCAGTAAAATTGATAAACCTCCAGCCAGATTATCAAGAAAAAGGACCCAAATAAACAGAATCACAAATGAGGAAGGCAAAGTAACAACAAACACCATAGAAATATAATTATAAGAGAACATTATGAAAAATTATATGCCAACAAATTGGACAACTAAGAAGAAATGGATCAATTCCTAGAAATCTATAACCTACCAAAACTGAAAAAGGAAGAAATAGAAAATTTGAACGTGCAAAGAAATTTAATCAGTCATGAAAAAACTCCCAACAAACAAAAGTCCAGGACAGATGGCTTCCATGCAAATTCTATTAAACATTTAAAAAAAGAGTTAATATCTACTCTTCTCAAACTATTCTAAAAAATAGAAAAGGAAAACTTCCAAATTCATTCTATGAGGCCAGCATTGCCCTGATACAAAAACCAGATAGACAACACACACACAAAAAGAACTACAGGCCAATACCTCTGATGAACACAGACGCAAAAATCCTCAACAAAATACTAGCAAACCGGGTTCAATAATACATTTAAAAAAAAATCATTCACCAGGATCAAGTGGGCTTTACTCCTGGGGTGTAAGGATGGTTCAATATTCATGAATCAGTTGTGATACATTACATCAATAAGTGAAATGATAAGAACCATGATCATTTCAATAGATGCAGAAAACACATCTGACAAACATCCACTCATGCTAAAAACCCTCAACAAAGTAGGTTTAGAGGGAACCTATTTCAACAGAATAAAGGTCATATATGAAAACCCAAAGCCAACATCATCCTTAATGGGGAAAACCTGAAAGCCTTTTCCCTAAGAGGTCAGGAACAAGACAAGTATGTTCACTCTGACCATTTTTATTCAGCATAGTACTATAAATCCTAGCCACAGCAATCAGACAACAAAAAGAAATAAAAGGGATCCAAATCACTAAGGAAGAACTAAAACAAGAAATGGACTTTTAATTACAGAAAACAAATGGATGGTTACCGGAGGAAAGATAGTTGGGCGGGATGGGTGAAACAATGGGCAGGGATTAAGGACTGCACTTGTCCTGATGAGCACTTGGTGATTAAAATGAAAACTTAAAAAAACAAAATACAGATAAACAACTTGAATCAACAGAGAACACTGTGAGTTCAAGAAGATAAGGAAAATAACCCAGCCTCCAAATTATGGGCAGTCTCCATATTTCTCACACACACACACACACACACACACACACACACACACACACTGCTTTGTTGTTAAGGCTAAATTGGTCAAATGTTTATTCAAATTACCTCAAGCATTATTTATTTTTTTAAAATATTTTATTTATTTATTTGACAGAGAGAGATAGCAAGAGAGGGAACACAAGCAGGGGGAGTGGGAGAGGGAGAGGCAGGCTTCCCACTGAGCGAGAACCTGATGCAGGACTCAATCCCAGGACCCTGGAATTATGACCTGAGCCAAAGGCAGATGCTTAATGACTGAGCCACCCAGGCGCCTAGCTCAAGCATTATTTTTAATCCATTTCAAGTAGCATCCCCTTATACTATGAAGTGAACTGCTCTGTAATACATGTAAATCAGAACAGAATGAACTATATAGAATACTTAATATTTTTAACAACCATCTATTCTACAAAGCTTACATATTCTTTTTAATTACTTTGTCTTTTTGCAGCAAACCAGCTGGCAAGGACTCAGTTTACACCCAGATCTCCCTGATCAGTTTTGAAGAAAATGATCCGGAAATGTCTACTTTGCTATCTTCTCTTTCCTCTTTCTTTATATGCATCCTACAATAAGCTCAGATACTAAATTCGGCTGTTTGCTGTTTAAGTACATGTTTTTGTACATGCAAAGCACCAGGAAAGACGACACCATACATGCGCGCGTGCGCGCATGTGTGTGTGTGTGTGTGTGTGTGTGTGGTGATTTGTATACACACACTTTTTCTAGTTTTCTATTCTCCCTCAAAATAAAAACAAGCTTCTCCTGCTAACATAAAGTAAGTATACACACACTTTTTCTAGTTTTCTATTCTCCCTCAAAATAAAAACAAGCTTCTCCTGCTAACATAAAGTAAATAAAAATGTTCTTAATTCTAAAATATAGGAAATACAACTAATGACATTTTAGTGGAATATAGGAAATATAGGATATACAACTAATAACATTTTAGTGGTTTACTGGTTTCAAAAAATAATTTAGGATTTAAAAAGGATGCTTCCCCTCCAAATTGGGAAAGTTGTATGGATGCAACTACAGCAGGAGACTTTTGTTTAAAAATCACCTATAAAAACTAAAGAAAGTATGAAGGTTAATAGTTTTGTGGCCTTGAACAAGTCACATATCCTCTCTGGGCCTCAGACTGCCCATTTTAAAATATGGACGGTCACTGTTTTGCCTACTTTGTGGGGGTAATTAGCAAAATAATGAGTATGTTTAAAGTACTCTAAAAAAATTCTAAGTTGAATGAACTCTCTGAAAAAATTCAATGATCAGTTGATTAATATGATCCTGTTGATCAAGAATAAAAATGTTGGGGTGCCTGGGTGGCTCAGTGGGTTAAGCCTCTGCCTTCAACTCATCGAGCCCCACGTCGGGCTCTCTGCTCAGTGGGGAGCCTGCTTCCCCCCACCCTCTCTGCCTGCTTCTCTGCCTACTTGTGATCTCTCTGTCAAATAAATAAAAATTTTAAAAAATCTAAGAAAAAAAAAAGAATAAAAATGTTCACTCACCATTTTAGACCTAATTAAATACTGAAAAAGGACATAAGGAAAACTAGTCCATGGCAATCCACTATATTTAAAACTTGTATAGAAACTGTCATTGCTGCAATTAGGGAAAGCACAAAGGAGTCCAGAAGCAGGTCCCAGCAACAATATAGTCTAAAAGACCACAATTTTGCTAGAGAGTTGGCAAAAAACAAAATTGGGCATGGTATGAGCTCAACTTAGACCCTGGCCAGGAAGATTTTTAAATTAGTAATGTTAACGAAAGGGCAATACTGTGAAGAAATAGTGCAGTAATGCACCCCTGGGGACATTTGGTAATGTCTGGAGTCATTTTTGGGTGTCACAACTGGGGGCAGGGGTGCTACTAAAATCTAGTGCACAGATGCCGGAGATGTTGTTGAATGTCCTAGTGTGAATAGAACAGCGCCTAACAACAAAGAAATTAAAGTCTAAAATGCCAACAGCCCTGAGGTTAAGAAATCCTATTTAAAAGCAATAGTATCCAGAAAATAGAATTTGATGATAGCACCACTCACTCACTCATTCATTCATTCAAGTATTTCCTGAGTACCCACCAAGTAAAGTTTCTGTAATGAGCTCTGTCCTAGGTGCTGAAGAGTCTATAGTGATACAAAATAATCCACGACTTATATAAATATTGAGCATCTATATGGCCTTGAAAGGAATCCCAGAAACAGTCAAACAAGTTTACTAAGACCTGGAATGTTTATACCTTTTCTAAACACCTACCTCTAGGGCCTGCATTCGTTTTAACAGCATTTTATTTTCGTTGTTCTTAATCTTTTCTTCATAGAACTCCAGAAATGTTTTTTTGTAGACTAGTTTCATATTGTACTTCTTTGCCATTCTGTCCAAAACAGATTACTTAATGAAAATGTTTCCAAAATATTTATAATTCCTCTGTAGTTTACTTTCACATAACAGTGACAATGTCTGGGGATCATCAAAAAACTATTATAAATTCATAACAGGAGAATACAAAATGAATGAAGAGTAACATGCCAATAATTACATCTATAAGATAACATGCATCCTAAATCTCAGTGGGTCACAGGAAACTCTATTACTGTAACAAATAGGTCAGGAAATAAAATGAAACTCCATTACTGTAACAAATAGGTCAGGAAATAAAATGAAAGCTATGAGATGGGGATGAACATCTATAAGGAACACTTTTCTATTAATTCTATTTTATTTAACTTGATCCCTCACAGTGGCATTAAGAACAGCTACCATTCCTTCTTAAAATAGTCTCTTTCATCTCTTGGATTCTCTGACAAGATACACTATTAATTTTCAAACCACATCTTGGGCTGCTTCTGCACAGTTTGTTTTACAAATTTCTTTTACCTAACTTCTAATGTTCTGAAGTTTGGCCCAGAGCATTACTCATTTTCCCTTTCCTGACTTCACACAGCATGCCAACAGCTATCTGTAGCTCAGCTCTCTCTTGTCATTCTCATTTATTCCACTGCTTCCTAGAAATCTCCACCAGGATGCGTCACAGGTATTCTCCAACTTTCCAAATCAAGGCTGAACCCCACTAGACTGTTCTGCCAATCTTTGCTACTTCAGTAAATCTATCTAATGATTCATGCCAGAAACCTCAGAGTTCTCCATGCCACCATCCTCTTTCCAATGTTCCATACACCACTACATCCTCTGTTTACCTATAAAATATTCTTCAAGTAGTTCTTAACACTTCTTTGGCCACCATTTTGCTTTAACTATTACCACCACTCAGCTATACTACATTGCTTATTTCCCTGCTTTCATTCTTTTCTCCCTCAATGAATTTTCCAACTACAGCCAGACTGAACTTTCACAAAAATACATACATGTCACTTCCTTCATCTACGCCCTGCAGTGGCTTTCTAGCCCACTTAATAGAACACAATTCAAAAGCCTTTTGCATGGCCTTTAATGCACTCATCTATAAGGAATGGTTCCTTGGGGTACCTGGCTGGCTCAGTCCATACAACTACACAGTATGTGATCTTGATCTCAGGGTCATGAGTTCAAGACCCACACTGGGCACAGAGCTTATTTAAAAAAAATAATAACAACAATGCTGCCTCATCTTGAGCCACTTGGGCCCTGATTCCTTACAACCCACACAATGGTTTTCCTTCAGCTCATTCACATATATTGTCCCTATACCTGGAATATTCTCCCTTCTAGTCTTCAACTGGCAAACTTCTTTTCATCCTTTAGATGTTGACTTAAACATCACTTCTTCACAGGTGGATTCCTTAAATACTCAATTACATGAGGTCTCCCTGTTACACTGTTTTTTTCCTACTGCATTTGCCAAAGTTTATAGTATCTGTATTTGTTGACAACATAAGGAGTCTGGAGGATGATCTCAGGTAGAAGGTAAAGGAGGAGATGAAGGGAAAATAACTCTTCAACGGTCAATGAGAAGGCTTATCAAGTGAAAGGACAATGGGGAAAGGACAATGAAAAAGAATATGTGTGAGAGCCACTGGGATATGTATGTAAGAGGCATATGTAAGACAGTGCTCCCCATAATTTGAATTAACCCTTCTTGGAAAGACAATGTAAGTTAAGAGTCTCTTTTATTCTAGGCAGTTCACTTTCTACCATAAGTCTCCAAAATAAGCCTTCAGAAATAAAATCAAGTTGTACACCTTAGAAATAGCAAAATTACAAAGAACTAAGACTCGATTTGTCCAATTTGAATAGGTTTGCCATATAAAAGCTATGTTTTTGTTCAGTTTAATAAAACTGCAAAGAACATCTCAAAATCCTATGCATTTTTCAGATCCTGTCTCACTGAATGTGTAACTGTTTTAGTAAATAATCTTTAAAAAATTTATATTATAGTGATGACTTGTGACTATACATGTGTATCACCATTAAGCAAATTAAGTACAAAAATTGCTAGTGCTTCCTAGCATTTAAAAAAAAACTTTCATTTTAAAGGCACCTGAGTGGCTAGAGGACACCTAGAACCAGTGCATGAGTGGAATACATTCTTGAATCAGGATCTTATTATCAACACTGCCTATGTGATGTACGAAAGTTCAAAGCTATAGTGAAATGTAAAACAACTTTCAATACCTATCCTCATCAAAGGAGGAGCTTTGCTTTATGAAGACTCATTTATATTACAAAGTTACTAACAGTTTAAAAAAATATCTTTCACTATTTTCAATGTCAGGTATTTTCTGCCACAAGATGAAGGCAACAACAGTCTCCCTTTCTTATCTACAGGATAAAGTAATTCCATGGATAAAAGAAAACTAAATAAGCAAGGTATAAGAAGCTATGGCATAAACCTGAACTTGAGGTTAGTTTTTCTTTTTTCTTTTTACAAGGCCATAATTTTTCTTTGGGTTCCATTTAAAATAAGGAATGAACAAAAATACTAATTTTTTTTCTTTCTTTCTCTTAAGGCAAAAAGAGAATAACAGATTAATGACATTCTTACTCATTTAGCAATGGAAAATAGACCAAGAATTCAGGGACATCCACAACACCTTCCAAGTTGAAGTCATATTTGCAGCCAAATAAAGGATAATCTCCTTTCTTCTGAAACTTCACAGTATATATCTCATTCCCAAATGATTCTGTTTCTGAAGCTTCAAGGCGTCTTCTATTAAAGGTTATCCCCAAACCAAAATAAAAAGATTAAAGCTGTTATTAGCTCAGACTTATTCTGATCAGATTATGCATGTGAAAAAACTAAAAGATGCAATTTTAAAAAGATACCTGATCAGCTTTTTAACTGGATTTGAACTACTTTTAAGAAGCAATACATTAACAGATCATTCACATGCTCACTAATAAAATTAGGCTGGAAACAGGCTTCACTTCATTATCATGACTACTAGCTAAGTCTTTGAGTATCTGATCTGGAGTTTGTATAGCACTACAACCTCTGGCTGGGTATAGCATAGGTCTCCAATTTACCCAATAAAGATGTTTTAAAGATTCATCCATAAATCTACGTTTTGACCTTAAATGTTGAGTATCTACTCAAATACATTATCAAAGTATTCAGCCCTTATAAGATCAACATGGCATGTTTTATGAAGTCTATTTCTGATAAACATTTGCTACTTTACAATAAGCCTAATTCTGAGTATCTTATAAACAACAATATATCAAAAGCACTTACATCAGTTCAAAGCTATTGGGAGTAGTACCAATAAAATAACCTCCAGGGCTCAGTCTCTCACAAGCATTTCTGAGCATCATGTCAGCCTGCTCATAGGATTCAAATGAATAATGACAGACAAACTGACAACTGCATATGTCAAAGCACATTTCTGGGTCACGAAATTTGTTAATCAAAAGTTCCTGAAACAAAATTAAAAATTAAAATGGGTCAAGATTTTGATGTTAACTGTAATATAAAAACGTTTTTGCTAATTAATTTCTAGAATTAGGGTCCTTAAAATAAAGTAGATATGTCCTCCCAACCACCTATTCTTTCTCTCATTATGTATAATGAGGTCCACAATGAAATGATCTTTTCCTTTTGGTTCAACAGAATTTGATTCCCATTTTCAAGGTAATTTAAAAACTAAGGATGAAATCATGTCTCAAAATCTATCAACCAAATACGACATTTAAGAAAGTTGATGCTTTATTTGGCTTTACTTCAAGGCTAAAGTAAAATATCAAACAATAACTGTGATTAAAAAAAAAACAAACACTCACAAAACTGGCCTTTGGGATATTTTTTAAAAGTGCCAGTGTTTTTAAAGGTTTCCAACATTCTAGCAGTATACTACCATTTTTCCTTCTCACTTTCATAACGCCTCTGTAGTTCTTAAACTTAATAGTTAAGAAAAAACCCCTGGAAGTACTCAGTGGGTCATCTAAGGAAATTTATCATTAACAGAATTTCTAGCTGAAACTGAAAATACATGTCCTGAGACTTTTAGTGTTTCAAAGTACATTCTAAAAGAACTAACTGCTTTTTAAACACATCACTCAGTCAAACTAAAAATATTAAACATAAATTGACAAACTGAAAAAAACTCTGTACCTTTGAACAATCAGCAGTTACAAATTCTGCATTGAAAATAAATTCGTTATCACGACAACGATTTTTCATGTCCTCATACCGCTGCTGACACTGTTTGACAGAAACATCAGCGATATCTGGAAGCAGGACAGGCATTAGTAACTGGCAACAAAGGCCCACAGAGATAAGATGTAAATGCAAAGATGGTTCAAATCTAGACATTTAGCGTGAAATCTATCCTTAGTAAGAGCAAAAAAGGTTCTATTTCCTTTAAAACAAAAAGTATCTCTTCCAATGTAAATGCCTTATTATTTTTCAAAAAGATAAAAAGCTTTCTCAATAGGTAGTGATAACAGAAAAGTTCTACCATGATTTTTAAATGCTTATTCCAAGTTAAATGCAAAAAGTTTAGACTCCAATTTGAATTATAAAATGTAAACTATACACCCAACTTTGAAAATATCAAGGCCCAGCTTTGAAAATATCAAGTTTATTTTTTCTTAATAAAAAGTTACTTGCTTTTTCCTGTGGTGAGATTTGCAATGATGACGCAAAAGCACTGGAAAGTAAAGCTGGCACCTTATCATGAATACAAGCTAGTAGTGAACCAAATGATACAGGTAATACTTGATATCTCCTTCACCACTATAAACTAGCATGGGGGAAAAAACCAATTTCATTTTAAAATGTTTTTGATAAAGCAGTAAAAGTTGATTTTATTAAATCTTGGCTCTTTTTCAATATTCTGTGTAATGAAATGGAAAGTAACAGAACATCTGTGTTCCCTAGTAAAGTCTGAACAGGACTGGTGTGACTGTGTTGTGAGCTGTACTGGCCACTTTTTTTTTCTTTATATAATTTATTTTTTTATTAACATATAATGTATTATTAGCCCCAGGGGTACAGGTCTGTGAATCGCCAGGTTTACACACTTCACAGCACTCACCATAGCATATACCTTCCCCAATGTCCATAACCCCACCACCTTCTCCCTACCCCCCTCTCCCCAGCAACCCTCAGTTTGTTTTGTGAGACTGAGAGTCTCTTATGGTTTGTCTCCCTCCCGATCCCATCTTGTTTCATTTATTCTTTTCCTACCCCCCAAACCCCCCACGTGGCATCTCAACTTCCTCATATCAGAGCAATCATATGATAATTATCTTTCTCTGTCTGACTTATTTCGCTAAGCATAATACCCTCTAGTTCCATCCATGTCGTCGCAAATGGCAAGATTTCATTTCTTTTGATGGCTGCATAGTATTCCATTGTGTATCTATACATCTTCTTTATCCATTCATCTGTTGATGGACATCTAGGTTCTTTCCATAGTTTGGCTATTGTGGACACTGCTGCTATAAACATTCAGGTGCACGTGCCCCTTTGGATCACTACGTTTGTATCTTTAGGGTAAATACCCAGTTGTGCGATTGCTGGGTCATAAGGTAGCTCTATTTTCAACTTTTTGAGGAACCCCCATGCTGTTTTCCAGAGTGGTTGCACCAGCTTGCATTCCTACCAACAGTGTAGGAGGGTTCCCCTTTCTCCGCATCCTCGCCACCATCTGTCATTTCCTGACTTGTTAATTTTAGCCATTCTGACTGGTGTGAGGTGGTATCTCATTGTGGTTTTTTTTTTTTTCACAGTCAAGTGTTTTCACTTGAAAGCAGCACTGACAGACAAACTGGTTACTTAGACTTTATTATCTGGCAGACATTTTCTTGAAAATGAATCAAGTGAGCCTCTCACTTCAAGCAAAATAAAGGACAGTATTTGTTACCAAGGATAAAACCTGAGATTTCAAGTGAGAATTACAACTTGAAACACTTGCGTCTACCACCATGGGCTGGGCGTCTTCCCAATACTTAAAACTTTTCTGATTGGTGGTAACATTAAAAAAAATGTGATTTCTTGATGTCAACATTTAGAAGATCTGCATAACATTAGTGGACATTATTTTCCAAATATCACAAAATCTTGTAGGGCAGAAAACCCATTCAAAGCACAAGACAGACCAATGGATTTAAGTATAACAGAATACAAAAATTTCACTGACACAGATTCAGATGCTACATTATAACTATCTTTAAGGAACTACCACCTGTGGAGTTTGGATACAGTATGAAAGATGAATATGCTCAATTATCTGAAAGGACTGTTAAAGTAGCCCTTTATCTTACAACTACTTTTCAAATAACACACCTCAACACAGTGCATGCAGAAACAGGTATGAAAACCCAGCTGTCTCCTATTATTCCAGACTCTAAAAGTATTCGGAGAAATATTTAAAGTGCCAGTCTTCTCGCTAAACTTTATGTTCTAATGAATAAAAATACTATTTTAATTCTCAATTTTAATTTCTATAATCAATAGCTATAGCCACATATACAGTACCTTTCTGGGTCATAAGGTAGCTCTATTTTCAACTTTTTGAGGAACCTCCATGCTGTTTTCCAGAGTGGTTGCACCAGCTTGCATTCCTACCAACAGTGCAGGAGGGTTCCCCTTTCTCCGCATCCTCGCCAGCATCTGTCATTTCCTAACTTGTTAATTTTAGCCATTCTGACTGGTGTGAGGTGGTATCTCATTGTGGTTTTTTTTTTCACGGTCAAGTGTTTTCACTTGAAAACACTTCCTGGTGGTCCTCAATCATTTTTTTTTTTTAAGATTTTATTTCTTTATTTGATAGAGAGAGAGAGATCACAAGCAGGCAGAGGCAGGCAGAGAGCGAGGGGGAAGGAGGCTTCCCACTGACCAGGGAGCCTAATACAAGGCTCGATCCCAGAACCCTGAGATCATGACCTGGGCCAAGGGCAGATGCTTAACCATCTGAGCCACCCAGGCGCCCCAGTGGTCCCCAATCTTAAAAATAAGGGTATATAGTGTTTATAAAACCAAGAAAGTTGAGAAGTGCTAATTTAGGTAACTTCACAGGTGGTGCTACGTACTTCACCTCATTGGAAGAATGTAACATCTACTTGTCCCACTTTAGTGTTAGGCTGATTAGTGCTTGATTCATTCAGTTACTAAATTCCATCAACCTTTCTCACCTAATAGCTTTAGCAACTTTTTATGATTGTTGCTTAGATCTATCATTTCATCAAGGATGGAAAATAGTGATTTTCATCAGTGCTACTGCACTTAATCATTCTGATTTTTTAATAGAGAGGAATTTCCCTTTTCAACCATTTGGTCATCTTGAAATACAGTTCACATAGGGTAAGAAAGACACCCCAACCGTTAATTTATGAATTGCAGAATGATGAATAAATTTCCTAGCATCCTCCAAGGGGGAACAACAGGATTTTTTTCTTTTATTTGATGTGTTTCAATCCACTGAAATCACTATTCTTTTTGATGATGAAACTGTCCTATCTTTGGCCAGTGGAAGTTTCAAGTTTGTGCTTTAGACGTGACTCCCATCTTTGATTACTTCCCTCCTTTTAGAGAGGACAAGTTATCCCAGGCTCATTAACTATATTTTGTAACACCATCAGTAAAATCTCAAAACTCATGGGCGCCTGGGTGGCTCAGTGGGTTAAAGCCTCTGCCTTCGGCTCGGGTCATGGTCCCGGGGTCCTGGGATCAAGCCCCGCATCGGGCTCTCTGCTCAGTGGGGAGCCTGCTTCCTCCCTTCTCACTCTCTGCCTGCCTCTCTGCCTACTTGTGATCTGTCTGTCAGGGAAATAAATAAAATCTTTAAAAAAAAAAATCTCAAAACTCATTTGAAAAAACACCCATCTCAAACACAGCCACAGATATCTTCTTCTAAGATATCTTAGTGTCATGTGATACTGAGATTCTGTTTATTTTCCAATTACCTGATGGATCACAAATTATTCTTTCCCATGTCATTATTTATCTTACCTGTACAAACTAGCTTGTTAATTCTTCCCTTTTTCCACTTGAGCAAATCTCCACCTTTACCACATCCCAGGTCCAAAACAGTGATATCACGTTTTTTTTTCTGTCGTATCTTTTCTAAAAATTCCCCTAAAAGAGAAAAATGTCATAATAATAATTTCTCCATTTTTACTACAGCATGAACTGTTACACCTAATACCTACTAACACCTGCCTGACATTATTATAAACTATTACATGTTCTTTTATGTAGTTAATTCGTAACTTCTGGTGAACATTTCATTTATATCAGAATATATGTCTGATATTTTAGAAAGTTCATATAGGTTTGTGAAGGTTATTTTTAGAATTTGACTAAACATTGAATAGCAGACATTTTAAATTCTAATTAATACAAGAAAGTTCAACACTTGTTCATATAAAAAAATTACTCATAATTTTTATAGTTTTCTCTTTCTAAAAACTAAATGTTTAGCTTATAATATACCTAACCTAATTCAAAATAATTATGGAATAATAAGAGTGCTTGACTTTTATAGAAGATGTCAGGCTTACCACCAAAACCAATACAAGAACTAGTCCAAATACTATATATACCTCTTAATTTTACTGTGATGAAAATTCTTAAAACACTCCAAAAAAATGAAATTTTTCATCCCAATCTACCAAATCACATTGATAACCAATGAATAGTATCAGTAGGACCCCATACATCAATAGTCAAATGGTTCAAATATCAGTTAAAGGCATATTAGTATTCTTAGACAACTGAAGTATTCAGCAATTCTAAAACCTGATATAATACGGATTTGTAGATCTACTCTTCCTCTATTACTCTGTGTTTAACATTTCCTATCTCATGTGTGTACCATTTTGACTGCTAAAATATTCACAGGGAGCCTGGGTGGCTCAGTCAGTTAAGCGTCTAACTTCGGCTCAGGTCATGATCTTGGGGTCCTGGGATCAAGCCCTGTGTCAAGTTCCCTGCTTAGCAGAAAGGCTATTTCTCCCTCCCCCTCTGCCTCCCACCACCTGCTTTCTCTCATGCTTTCTCTCTCTTAAAATAAATAAACAAAATCTAAATCTAAAAAAAAAAGAAAGAAATTCTGTATGAATATTTCTGGCTTTCACTGTCCGTAGGATCTTAAAATAATTTCAATAGAAGCACAAATGTTCTATATTTAACTTTCTGCTACTAATCTTAAAAAAACAGCATAACCAGAGTGCCCAGGTAGCTCAGTTGGTTAATTGGTCAACTCTTGATTTTGGCTCAGGTCATAATCTAGGGTCTTGGAATTGAGCCACACATCAGTCTCCAAGCTCAGTGGGGGATCTGGTTGAGGATTCTCTCTCTCCCTCCCTCCCTCTGCCCTTCCCCCAACCCGTACGAGCACACACACATGCACTCTCTAAAATAAATAGATCTTTTTTAAAAAATAGCATTAACAAATATGGAATAAGTAAAAAATGACTATTTCCATACAGTAAGACTAGTAAGAGGGAAAATCATGAAACATTACTCAGAGATACCTTTATCACATTCAAGCAGTTACTAAGCTGTACAAGCAAGAAAGAAAAAAATGAATGACCAAGAATGGGCACTGAGAAGAGAAAGGGGAAAAAAGCCAGAGAAGGAAGTAGCATAGACCACACTGATTACACCAGGACCTGAAAGACAAGTGCAGATAGCAATGCACCCATTAAGGGAGTTGCTTGAACAACTGAAGGAGGAAAGAAGAGTATATATATGTGGGGAGAAAAATTTTTTGCTAAGTCTGACTTAAGACTTTTTAAAAATGACCTGTTTCCCTGATTATAAAAATAATACAACTAATGATGTGAAAAATATGGCTGAACTTAAAATAGTTTATTCAATGAATAAACATATGAATAAATGACACATCAGAAAAAAATACCTTAGAAGTTATCTCTACTATTGAGGATGATGAGGAAAAGAGGAAAAGAAAAAAATGAAAAGAAATTAGGACTAGAGTCCATAGATTACCTTAGAAGTATAGATTAAAAATGCCATAATACTAACCTTAAAAATAAAAGGGGAGGGGTTGATGAGCCAACATTCAATTACCCTAGCTGAAAACTAGTAGAGACAAATAAATCATATTTCTGTAATAAAACACGAATATTAAAAACAAAGTGAGACAGAAAATATTAGTGTTCAAAATAATGACCCTAGTTCCCACTCCTAATACTATTCAGAATGAATAATGTATCTTTAAAAATTATTCAATTATTGGGGAGCCTGGGTAGTTCAGTCAATTAAGCATCTAACTTGATTTTGGCTCAGGCCATGGTCTCAGGGTTGTGGGATCGAGCCTTGGTGTCAGGCTCTGAACTCAGCAGGGAGTCTGCTTGAGATTCTCTCTCCCCCTCTTCCTCTACCCCTCCTGTTTGTGCTCTCTCTTTCTCTCACTCTCGCTCTAAAATAAGTAAGTCTAAAAGAGAAAAAAAAAAAAAGGTAAATTATTGGGGCGCCTGGCTGGTTTAGTCTGTAGATCATGTGACTCTTCATTTTGGGGTTTTAAGTTCAAGCCCCATGTTGGGTGTAAAGATTATTTTTGAAATCTTTAAAATAAATAAGTAAAATAAGAATTAGTAAATTATCATCAAAACTAGTAGGAAGTACCCATAATTAGCACCTTATTCTTTCTAGCGTAATCATGAAAGCATTCTCACTTTATCTGAGGCTGGCTTTTAAAAAAAAACAAACAACCCAAAAACCTTACTTAGAAAACTTCAAAACCCACTGGTTTTTAAAAATTCTCTAAACTTGGGACGTCTGGGTGACTCAATTGTTAAGCATTTGCCTTCAGCTCAGGCCCTACATGGGGCTCCATGCTCAGTGGGGAGCCTGCTTCTCCCTCTGCCTGCCACTCCCCCTGCTTGTGCTCTTTCTCTCTCTCTGACAAATAAATAAAATCTAAAAAAAAAAAAATCTCTAAACTCACATAAAGAATCTGACTACTTAATATGCTAGATATACAAAGCAATAAATATATTCTGAATCAGATTTTTACCAAAGATTTCCATTTTAATTCTAAAGATGAGTTCCCATAAATAAAATGCAGGCTCCAAAAAGTTGAATGTCTTCATCAAGTCTCAAAGTAAACTTTATTTTTCCCTAGACACTTCACAAGAAAAACAAGTACAATGAAAAATCTCCACATAACCTTTTGACTCATTAAAGGTCTAGAGATGAAAAATCATGACCCTGCCCATTTTCTTGACTTAATAGAAGCTGAATACTTAATCCAACATTATGTCACTGTTCTAAAACTATTAAGAGTAAAATAGAATAATTACTTAATAGCACTAGATAATCTTAAGTATAAAAGGAGCACACTGCCTTTTGAAAGCCTAATTAACTTATGAACTTAATATCAATTAAACTCATATATTTTATGTAGTCCAAAAGTAAATATGAGAAGAATTATCTTGAAGTCTAGTTTTAATTTTTGCTCCAGTTTTATGAAGTCAAGACTTGGTAACTAACAGGAAGGAAAGACTTAACGATTTAGCATAGGAGTAATCGTTTGGGAAAAAAAATGAAACATAAGCAGAAATAAAAAACTCCAAGCTATAAATCAAAAATCAATAAATCATACCAATGAGGACGCTTTTCATCCAATTATTAAAGTTTCTTAGGTAAAAAATACGACTTTGGCTACGCTTCTCCAAACCAACTTCCTGTAGTTCATTATAGTGGGCAGCCACGGCTGAACTGTGTCCCTCTTCTAACTTCTGAAAATAAGAGAATGAAACAAAATTAAGAATCAGAACATGGCAAAAATAAGCTAAAAGAGCATCTGACCTATATAAGGATAAAATACAAATGAAATTGGTGAACTTGAATAAGCAATGGGATGGATGACAAAAATCCCACTAATTATAATCACACCTAAGATTTGTTCTCCCCTGTTCCCTATTTTTAAAAACATCTCTTGGTTTAAGATTTTCATCTTGGTCTTTCATCTGTATAATTTTGGTCTCAATGTCTAAATAAAACCAGTACTCTTCCAGAGTTCTGATTTATTCAATTCAATAAATGTTAGTCAGTGGATTGGGTTCCCACAAGAGAATAAAATAGGAACAGTTATATTTTTTATATTATTATGTAAAATTGATGAAAGCATTAAATGAGATAACACACACAAAGGAATTAGAACTCATTAAGCTATGTTCAGGGTCAATGTTTTTTGTTTTTTTCTTTTAATCTATTCCAACAGTTTCCATTTGTGCTACCTACCTAAGACACCAAGCATTCTGTAAAAATGCCACAGTATATAAAGTGCTTCAAATTCCCACACTACTCTGTTCAACCAAAGTGCATCATCTTTTACCTATCTTATGTATCAGGTTTAATATTTTTACTTGGAAAAAAGGGTCTTGCTGCTGGTAAAGTTTGAAAACTGTGTGTATAATACAAGCTCCTCTCTGTTACAAGGATTCACACCGTACCAATGGCAAAAGCCTGGCCTAACACTTTACTCTCCAGGACTGATGCCAGAACTTTTACTCATTCACTAAAGTACTCCTTCCAACCAAACTCATCTTCTGCCTCAGATTCCTGCATAATATAATATTCCCAGATGAAAATAACTTGCTGTCCCTTGTTCTACACTACCCATCCAAAATATCAGGCTTATGTAACTACCCCAATGAGAAGCTGGAAACAATATAGTTAAAGGAATCACATTAAAGGTGGGTGTAATGTTGAAATTTATCTTTTAAGTCATAATCTCTACTATTTCTGACACAGGAAAGTGATGGACACATAATAAAAAAGGAAAAAAGTATATCATTTGGAACTTAAAACTTGTCTTTTTTAAAACACTGAGAAAAAGCAAATTATAAAAACTAGCTTTCAGGTTTCTAGTGAAACAAGAGTTCTTAAATAACAAAAATTATCTCAATTAGCATTAAGTTTCACCTAAATAAAAGCAACTAAATTACAGGAGTTAAAAGCCTACGCTATCTTAAGACATTATCTATTACTAATAGAACATTCTTATTATTTAAGATTAAATAAAAAATATTCACAACAGTTCCACATTTCAATGACACATCCCATTATGAATAAAAAAATACATTCAACCTACTTTTTGCTTTTCAGGAACATCCTCAAGTTCTATTTTTCTCTTTTTCTGTGTGCCATCTCCAGTAGAAGGTTCATCTTTTGGAAAATCATCCGTTTCCACTCTTCTTTTCCTTGAAATGACTTCATCATCACCAGAACCTTTTTCCTCTGGGACAATTTCAGCATCAAGTTTCCTTTTCTTGGTTGGAGTATCTTCCCCACAACTAGAACTTTCCTTTATAAGATCATCTTCAAATTCCATTTTTCTCTTTTTTGGTGTGTCTACTTGTCCACAGATAGGAGCCTTTTCAGAAAGGCCAGTCCCAGGAGTGGTTGTGTTTTCATTAATACTGAATGAAGATTCTGTTTCCAAATCTACTGATGCTTTTGCCTCTTCAAGAGAGATCTTTCCACACTCCTCTGCTTTTGCAGAATTTTCCATTTTTGCTTAAATAGATAGTAAAACTTCACGAATTAACACTGGAATGGCAAAAATTTGATATTACTTGTAAACACAAGTACTGAAACTTTAAATCAATTTTAACCAGAAGCCAGCCATTTCATTTCAGTAACCAACTAGGAGTTTTTTAAAAATCTCATTATAGTGAGAATACTGAAAACATTAACTGATATATGTTACAGATGAATCTCTGAATATATATGGAAGTACTAATTATAATGCCTAAACATACACACAATCTTACCCATAAAAGTCATTACTGGCATTGAAACTGACCGATAAGTTGGGGGGGTGGTTATTACACAAGCACTAGTTCCATTTCTATTCTGATCCTCAATTTATAGCCTTGTTTCCCAAATTGTGAGCTGGACACTATAACAAACTTGTACAGGCACAGCAGGACACTTTAAAATTTTAAGGGAAACCCTGGTATCTGACATATGGAAGATACCACGAATACAGCTTCAAATAGAGCAGCGTCAACTGAATAGACCGCACTACATTCCTTTCAATGCTATCAGAACTTGTGAAGCTGAGATTTTGGTGGCACCATAGGAAATCAATGTGAAACAGGAAATGAAGTTGGCAATGTCAAATCTTATTTCAAAGCCTGAGAAACTGTGCAGTACCCAATAGGTGTACACATCCCGTTAGTAAGCACTGATGGTTAACAAAAAATTAAACACAAACATTATTTTTTCCTTTCAATGTGTGTATTATTTTTTAAGTAGTTATTAAGACATAAATACTAAATTCTTTGGATTAAACTACTTACTAAGCAGAACTGGTGGGTATTTCTTTTGACCTACTGATACTGAAAAAATAAAAATTCAGAGACTAAGGGCACCAAGAACAGGAAAAGTCTGGGAACCTACAGTTAACTTCTGAAATCCTTATTTCATAATGGGTGCCAGAATTAGAAAGTGAAGACAGCAGAAATAGCTTTGGACAAGAAGTTTCAAAACCCAGTCTGCAACTTAATGACTATTAAGTCTCCTTCAAATGTTCATAGGCTTATGAGTAAAATGGAAGGGAGAGAGAAATAAGTAAACTATGGAACAGGAACTTATTAGGTCATTTGACAATTCTACTATACTTCAACTACAGAGGATCTCAATAAGGCACTATGTGGTTAGTCTTCAAGAATCTTACAATCTATATGCCACTTTTAAAATGTTAGGCTGTGGGGTGCCTGGGGGGCTCAGTGGGTTAAAGCCTCTGCCTTCAGCTCAGGTCATGGTCCCAGGATCCTGGGATCTAGCCCAGCACCGGGCTCTCTGCACAGCGGGGAGCCTGCTTCCTCCTCTCTCTCTCTCTCTGCCTGCCTCTCCACCTACCTGAGATCTCTGTCTGTCAAATAAATTAATAAATCTTTTTTAAAAAATAAAATGAAATAAAACATTAGGCTGTATTATTCCAACCAAACGGAGAAGGGAGAGTAAAAGTCCAAAAACTGGTGAGATTCAACAAATTCAAAACCTGAAAGTTAAAAAAAGGTGGGCGAAAAGTCTTTTGAGTGAAGAAATAGAACAAGAAATGAAGTTGCTTAAGAGAATGGGTAATAACAAGTCCTTATAAACCAGGAAGGGTTTCAAGGGATATTAGTTTTCACTACCCAAGGGGTAGGTAACAAAATACCAAGACGTGCCAAACTAGGAAGAACTGAATCAGAGGGAAACACACACACACACACACACACACACACACCCAGAAACGTAATTTTCAGTATAACCTTTTAAAATGATTATGTAGTAATACTGGCCACCAAATTATCAAATGTCTAGGTCAGAATAAACCACACAGAATTTTAAAGGACCGCAGAAATGGGTAAGAAGGTTAAAAACGGAATCAAAGTGCAATAATGAATAAACTCTAAACTAAATTGAGCTGCCCCTCAGAATCCTCAAGGAAGGAGCTCAGGGTAATGATTAAACTGACAACGAGATGGAAATGCATTAAATACCCAAATAGGCATTTCGACCTGACTTTACAGTCACACCTCTGAGGCAGGCCACGTCTCCATCATTTCAGTTTCTCAGAGAACGCCCGAGCCCTCAGGACCCCGAGGCTTAACCTCAAGCAGGATGACCCTTACACTCTGACCCGTCAGCTAGACGGGGGTCCACTCGGGAGACCTAAGAGGACGCAACAGAGGCGAGAAGGGAAATATTCAGCCAAAATCACCCTCTTCCGTCACTGGCGCGGCCTAGCTGTTACTAAATCTCCAGCTCACATTTCCGATCCGCAGCTCAAGACAACACAGACGCTACTTCGGATCCAACAATCTCTCCCCCAGCCTGCCTTCTCTGCACCGCCGAGGTGCGGCCTGAGAAAGCTCTTAGGGCTGCACCCGCTCTCGGGTGCAACGCTCGCTCGGTCTGAATGAGCGACAGAGCCCGCCGACTCCCACAAGTACTGCCCACTTAGCTTCGGGTTGGGTGCACAATAAACCTCCAGCGAACGGTACTGAAGGAACAGGACTACCGCGAAGCGAGCCCATGTCAGGAGTTGGGCGTGCCCCTTCCATCGCGAGGGCGACGGAGGGACTAAAGACAAAGAAGAATGGCCAGAGTTCCAGACACCACACTTACCCACACAGCCATCTACAATTCTGTTTGCGGAAGCGGCGGTCGGCGCCACGCGTGTGTTGTTACGCCACTTCCGGGGAGTGGATGGTCACGTGACTCCGCTCTCGGCTGCGAGTGGAGGGTCTCTCGACCTTCGCGCCGGAACTACGAGTCCCGTCGTGCCGCGCGCGGGGGCCTGCTGAGGGACGCGCGGAGCCGCACCGACAGTAGCAAGCACGTTGTTAGTGGGCGCGGCTGGAGGGCTCGGGAGGGTGCCGGCGGTAGGGGCGGGGAGCGAGCGTTCGCCTGAGCCCCTGGAGTTCCGGCACCCTGACCCACGCTTATCAGGTCACTCTGGTGAGTGCCATTAGAAGAGCTGTCTTTCGGCCTGTGCGGCGTGAAACGGCGGTGGCCTCAATCTCCTAAGAGGTAGCCAGGGCCCAAGATCTCTAAGGAACTGCGCAGGGTTGGGGGGGTGGGTCCAGAGGGCACCTTCAACCCTGGTGCACGTTGGGGAGAAGAACTAGGGCGCGAACCTGACACGTGCCCCGCGCCCCACACTCCTTAGGCTACGCTGGTAATTCCGTCCGCGGGGCGGGGGTTCTCCACACTGGCCCGCCCACCACCCCTGGCGGCCGAAAGAGGTCACCCCCGCCCTTCTCTGGCAGGCCTGTGGTTCGGCAAATCCTGTTTGGGGGACTGTTTTTCAGCTTTCTGCTTTGTAACCCTTCACTCTCTGCTATTACCTACGTCAGAAGATGGCTGATGGGGGACCTGGGAGCCCCCGCCCTTGCAGTTGTTTTAAAAATGAGCAATATCTTACTACTTAGGGACTGGCGGGTCTTTCTTTACTGCTATACTTGGGAAATCTCTGCCATACCTCCCTTCAAGGCCATTCGCATCTGTCAGATTCTGGAGAGAGGGGCAGCCCATCCCTGTTCGTGAGAAACCCTACGGTATTGTTATTCTGTGTTGGCTGGACTTTCTCGTACGGGATGGTTGGGGGAGAAAATGCACTTTGTCCATCCCCTGAGATTTCCACTAGAGAGTCCAAGGCACTTACTGTACTGAAACTCGAAAGCTCCACAGTTCAGGTCTTTCATCCCGAGATAAGTAGGGTCAAAACTGTTATCTGTAAACTAAGGTCATTGATGCGTGTACATTTTAACGTTGTTGTGTCTCAGCGCCTCTCCACGTTAATGGCGTAAAAACAGCGTGATTAGATTGACAGTTTTAAAAACGGGGCATGATTAGATTACAGTTCACCTTGAATTCTTTACCAGAACTGATCCCATTTAAAGCAGTTTTGCAAACGTGTTTTACTGGCCTACCTACTTGTCAGGAGATAGTTATATTAATGAGACTTCGCGTTAGGAATGGCAACATTTGCAGCCTGTGGTTTACCATCTAGTCATTTCCAAATTGTGGGCATTAACCTTTCTGAGGTTGTTGACCCTTTATAAACTTTGGACCAAGAATGAGGCCTATTTTTAACAATGAGGATGAGCCATCAATTTCAGATGACTGTGCCTGTACTTTTTATTATATGCAATGAGCTGTGTTGAGAATTAATTTCAGTTCATATATATGGACCACTGCAAAGGTATAGGTCCTAGAGATTGTACTGTATACATAACCATCCATAGAACTAAGCGATGACATAGCACGTATTTGGTGGTTCTGATGCTGAAGTATTGAGATAATTGCTGTTGTAATTTTGGAAAAAAAAATGAATCTAATTTTTGACTTCTTAAAATTTTTTATTAGATTTAAAGCCTCTTAACTGTGTTTATATAAACTCCATCATGAATTAATGTCATGCATGGGATATAGAGAGATCACGTCTTAGGATTTTTATCAGACTAAACTGAAAGTCATGCAGTGTGAGTTGAGATAGAAGAACTCTTGAATGTAGTAGTAATGGAAGGAGTGAATGGGCCAGATAAAATTGTTTTTAGATTACTGTTGATGTTATTTGCCCCCATTATTACTTGAGTAATATCTAGTTTTCTGAATATTGAATTAAAATAATAGCTAATATTTTGGTACCTTCTGTGTGCCAGACTGTGCTTTACATATTTGAACTTATTTAATTCTTATGTAATCCAGTGGGGTAGTTGCTATGATGATGATGATGATGATGATGATGATTTTATAGATGAGGGTTAAGTAACTTGGCCAAAGTCAAGCAGCTGGGAAGTAGTGAACTAGGATTTGGACCCAGGCAGGCTGGCTCCGGAGAACAGAATCTATGCTAATAAAGAAATAGTGCCTGCTGGAAGACCAGCCTCAGAACTGGAAGTTGGCTCCCACCTAATACATTTTCAGAAAATTAATTGATACTTCCTAATGCTTGGTATTATGTTCAGAGAGAAAATAACTCGATAAAGATGTTATCTTGCTATAGTATGAGTTCCAACAAGGCAAGGATCATTTTGTTCAATGAGTGCCTTGAATAGTGCCTGGCATACCTGGGTGCTTACTGAATGAATGAATTGCCAAGAAAAGTTTTAAAAAATTTTTTTTTTTTAAGGAAATAACAGGATTTATTTCAGTCCATTTATAAGATTTCTTTATGCACTGTTTTGATTTGGCTCATTATTTACCCAGCATGCTTTTGATTCTCCTGGTTTGGATTATACTTTTGTCAGTGTGAGAAAATGGAGTAGTAACTTGCAAGTTTTCTAAAGTAAAGGTAAGCAACAGATTCAGTAGATACCATTCCTCTTTTTAAGTCATTAGTTTCCAAAGTGCTAGCACTCAGAAGTGTAATTTTAAAAGTGTGATTTCTGTTGTGCAGTTGAAGATCACATTTTTGAAACATAAAAGTAGATACAATCTTAGAGCTTCCTAAGCCTAATGGTTTTGTTGGTGGTAGAAGAGAGGTGGTTTGTGGAAGGTTTGTTTCTCCAGTTTTGGAAGAAGGACGTTCTTCCAGTCCACTCACCAAAGTCGTCCTACTGGAATTTTACTGCCTTTTTGGAGCACATAAGATATTCTTGTTCAAAAAGTTTTTGGTATGGTTGAAAGTGAGGTTTAGTTGAGAAATCTAACTTTATTATGTGTGATGCTTAGTTTTATATGTCAACTTGACTAGGCTATACTACTGTAGCTATTTAATCAAACACTAATCTAGGTGTTGTGATGGTATTACAAGATGTGGTTAACATCTGCTTTAAGCAAGGAAATTACCCTCAATAATGTGGGTGGGTCTCATCCAATCAATTGAAGGTCTGACTTTTTTTTTTTTTTTTTTTTAGGATTTTATTCATTTATTTGACAGACAGAGATCACTAGTAGGCAGGGAGGCAGGCAGGGAGAGAGGAGGAAGCAAGCTCCCCGCTGAGCAGGGAGCCTGATGCGGGGCTCGATCCCAGGACCCTGGGACCATGACGTGAGCGAAGGCAGAGGCTTTAACCCACTGAGCCACCCAGGTGCCGGAAGGCCTGACTTTTAAACTGAAGTGTCTCAAGAAGAAAAAATACTTCCTCAAGCCTATCGCATTGATTTCTGCCAGTTTTTAACCTACAAGTCTGCCCTATACATTTCAGAGTTGCTGGCCCGCATGGTTTTGTGAGCCAATTCCTTAAAACCTGTGTCTATTTAGATAAGTAATCTAATAATAGATTCCTAATACATAGAAATAAATATCCATTTACCTAAATATAGATAAACCTAAAAACAGATAGATAGTGTATTATTTCCTGTTGGTTTTATATCTCTGGAGAAACTTGTCTGATTCAGAGTTTGGTGCTGAAGAGTAATTCTAGAGGAACAGATTCTTAAAGATGAGTTTTCTGAATTGTCTCTAGTATTCTTGGAATTGGTTCCCTAATTGGATTTAAGGGCACTAATTAATGACTATTTCCAGTGGTGAAAAGGGCACTGATAGCCCATGATATGATGTGGCAGTAGAGATATGCAAAAGGCAGAACATTGTCATCTGTATGCAAGTATTTATAAAAGATATGGTTCTTGATGGGATGATCACATATTTGATGACTTAAAACATTTTTGTCAAATTACCAAGTATAATGAGACTGACTGGTCGCTAACTGCTAGCTGCTAACTATGCTGGAGAAAGGGGAAAGAAAAGGATGAGCTCAGGTCTTCTGATTCCCAGCTTAAGCTCTGTGAAAATAACCGGAAAGTTTTTATGTCTGGCCTAAAGAAACTCATCTTCTGTAGATGCGGAGCTGAGATTGCTGAAAACCAAACCCAGAACCCCATCCTGCAAAATGGTTGAATTACAGTGCAAAATGAATTCCCCATCTAACAGAGTATCTGCTGTTAGAAAGAGGACATTGATTGAGAAGGAATGCAGTCCTCAAATTCGGAATGGGGTACTGAACCCCTAAGTTTTAATCCCTTATCTTTGCCAGCAAAAGCAGCCCTTCCACTCCTCTTTGAGAATTTAATCCTACTTTGTGTGAAGTACCTGTAATGGCCTTTCCGAAGTTACTTGCCTTTCAAGACATAGCCCATTCTCCCTAAGAACTACCCCTACTACACTTCTTTGCTGCTAGACTCAAGTCCTAGCAGGCCCTCAAAGGAAAGCTACAAAATGTGTCCTATGAAGAGGAGTGCTGCACTCTAAAAACCACATGATTTTTTTTTTTTAATCTGTAGAAATCTGGGGAAATTTTGTGGGGTTGGATATTAAAGGTGGAATAATGGTGGAAGGAAAATAAAGTCGGACCAGGTCAAATTTGATATAGGAACCACTAAGCAAAGATTTTGGATTCACTATTACAGCTTGAGGGATCGGGAAAGGCTTCTGACAGTTTGGTTAGTTGGCTGAAGCTTGGACCAAAAGGTGACCCATGCTTCCTGAAGTTAAAGTACCAGACCTGCCTTTGTATACTATAGAGGAAGGGATCCAAAGGCCTAGGGAGATTGGACTGGTGGAGTGGATTTGTCATTTAAGACCAGCTCACCCACTGTGGGAGAATGTAGAGGAGATACCTTTTACCATGACAGTGAGAAGTCAATTTATGAGGGGAGCCCTAGCATCCATGAAGATCTTTGTGATTGCTCTTCTCTGGGTCAGAAATTACAGCAGAAACTGCTGCCACTGAACTACGAATCCTTAAATACAGTGAGGATAATAGGAAATTGGGCAGGTATTACAGAGAGACCTATTTTCTTAATGGTATGTCTTACATGCTGAAGGTAAGAAGCCAGAGGAGAGGGCTGTTGAAGTACAGGAAGGAGAATGGCAATAGTGAAATACAAGGAAAATGTAGTTGAGCAGAGTCTTGGAAAAGACAGGAAGAGGTTAGATCTAGAACACAGGTGGAGGATTGAGCTTTTCTGAGGAAGGAGTTTAGGGATTCTGAAATAGGTGTGGTACAGGTAACTTTAGGAAGGCTGAAGTTGAGAAAATTCACCCCTAATAACTTTGGTTCAGTTTTAAAGGGAAGAGGGGG